ATTTTGATATTTCATAGAAATTCATATGAAATTTTTAAAATAATAATTTTTTCGAACGGATTAACCGATTTCGACGTTTGAGATATCGTTGGAAAGGTATTGAGCTCTAGAATTCGAATATCGATGTTTCAGAGGTCAATGACCTCATTTAGTGCCATCTATGGTCATGAAACTGAATTTTGACCCTTTTCTTGAAAGGACCATATTTTGAAGACAGGTGGACCGATTTTCAAACTTCTATATTTTTTCTTGATCTATAGCCCAAGGGCTTTCCAACCATACATCAACCGGGGCCAACAACCTTCTAGGTCTGTATTTCGTATATTACGTGTATATATAGCGAGTTCGACTTTTCAACACACTAATGTGGTTTCGTCACTCGCGCAATCTGCCGTCCGCTGTGATATAATTAATTGGATCTTATTTTGTGTAATCGCTCTTTCTAACTGGAATATTAAATAAAGAGTCTTACAGGAGTAAGACGAACTTTTCCGCACGGTGGTAGATGCGTATTTTATCAAGCTATATATATTCGGCATCGAAATATTCTTTAATTTAATAGCAGAAGTACTCGCAAAAGATTTTTCATCCGTAAGATAAACTTTTCCGCACTGTGATCCACAACATGCATTTATTACGTATCTTTTACCGTAAATATGAATTCATGAGAAAACTGAATCTGATATAAGTTTTGCGATACAAATAATTGATCGTTCTAGAATAAAAACAACTTATTGTTTACTCGCATATCGAAACGCGACTCAAAACGGTTGCATATCAAAGCGAGACAATATTTCGTTACCAAAGGAATAAAGAACATTGACTTTTTATTATACAAAATGTGTAAGTTTCATTTTGTGCTGATAACTAGCTACTGTTCTGCCTTGTTTTAGTAACAGAATTTTGTTTCGCTTTGATATGCGACGCAGTTTAACGATATAAATATTTCACACTCTCGAAGGCTCGGTATAAAATACACAAAAAGTGAAAAAAAAAACTTCTCATTCTCAAATTTCATAAACAATCAAATGGATTGTATCAGCAATTTTTATTATGCAGTTGTGTGTCAATAGAATGTTGTTTGTAAACAAAAGGCCATGCATTGAGAAATAACATGTAAGGGTGAGTTAGATAGCATTGAACAACAATTTGGGTGACAGAAATAGCAAATTTTTACAATCAGTCGCACCAGATGATATAGGCCATTTAATTGTGCATAAAAATTGAGAAAAGAAATCAGATTTTTTTTTTACTTTTTATGCTCTATACGGAGTCTCCGAGAGTTTCATATAAACTCGCCTTGCAATAGCCAAATAACGACTATTGATTCAATTACGATTGGTATTCGCTTACTATTCAATAGGCATCTCATAGCAAGTTTATATGAAACTCTCGGAGACTCGGTATAGAGCACTCAAACAGTGAAAAAAGTCCAGATCGTGATTTAGATGATATGGAATGCGATTTTTTTCATTCTGATTTCACCAGGTGATATAGAAAATTGAGTAGTATTTGAGAATCAAATAAAAAACCTCTATCAAGGTGAAGAACGAGTGACGAAACCAAAATTTAAAACACAAAATTTCTGATATCAATTTTGTTACGAAAATAGTTGGTAGATATATTTTCTGTGTACTGTGAATATTAGCTTAATATACATTTGTATATTCGAAACGTTGCAGAAATTCTATCTTCTTCTTTTTACTTTGAGTTCATACTGACGCAATGAAGCAACGTTCCGAATATACACTTGACTTGAGGCTTAAATTGATGAAATTTTCAAGAGAACATATGCAGTCTTTTTCGGAAAAATGCCCGTTATGTGTGCGGTCAACCCCCAATTTTTGGTTTTTTGCCAATTTGGCCGGGTGGCCAATTTGTGGGGGTCCACATGACATTTTTAAGTCGCAATTGACACCACTTGAGAGCTTACTTTAAGACCTTTTCAACGAATATGCATTTGTCCTGGTTATGTCAAGTTTAGGTCCCACAGTGACCGTATGAAATAATGGCCATTTTTGCATGACCTTTTGCATAGTTTTCTATTTATACTAACATTTTTGTAGATTTCTTTTAATTTCATTTGTGACTAACCGCATGCACCTCTCCCGACTATAGTGCACCTTCTGGCCTGGTGGGAGGGGCATAAGATTCGGTATTTTATCGATATTATGCGAGGAAACTATCAAACATGTAGTTATTTGTAGTTAAGATTTCTTATTTCATACATGTAGACATTTTTCTCGCCTATATCAATATACAGGGACTCATGATGGTTGCTTTAAATAACGTGTAAACCAATTTATTTGACAATGAATTGCGTCATATTGTCTTTTATAAAGTAAATACAAATTATAACACCTTTTTATATAAAGAAAACCGTCTACCTTCCACGTTTATGTGATAAATGTTAGGCACATGTTTTCGGTTCACTGTAAATGTTTAAAATATTTCGCACATTCTAATAAATTGATGTCGCAATTAAGACAAAGTTTTGAATTTCCTTGTAATTAGTAATATGATAAAAATGAGTGATTATTGAAATAAATAAATTTGATTTCTTATTAATCCATTGTTAGTATTTCCCAGTTTTGTTTGGGTGTATAAGACTCGTTTACTTTTTATTGTTTTAACCTTAATGGAATTATAAGAAAATTCCATCTATAATTTATAACGTCATTCATTAAAAAAAAGTATTCTAAGTTGTCACTTCATCTTTTACAATTTTTCATTTTCTTCTTTTATAAGTATACACTGCCTTTAGTATATAGTTAATTAAAGTTCGTTCGCTTGAGACGCTTGTCTTTATTTTTTTGGAAATACTTGCAGCAAAGGGAAAAAAATGTATATTTTCTTGCACGTTAAAATTTTTGCAACATAATTGTATGGTGTTTTTGGTGGAAGTGCCATGTCTTCTTCATCATCATCAAGCTCAAAAAAACCAGCCGACAATTTTAATATCGATAAATTTCAATAGAAAGGAGATTCAATTTATTTTATGTGTATAACAACCGATTCGTATGTATTGAATGTTTATTTGTATCCCTTGCAAGTTAAAATAACAACGCATTATTTTGCAGTCAACGTAAATTCTATGTGGCTGAAGTCAATGGAAGCATTCCTTCGGCTTAAGTTGACCGGTTAGATAATGGAAAAGGTCTATCGTTACTCTTTCACGGCATTGAGAATATATTCGATTCAGTAAACGGTAAAGACACCACACTAGCATTTGTCTTTTACCAAATTATTTTGAGCTATATCTAAATATCAATCGTTTGTTTCCCATAGGATCGCATTCAACATTTGCAAATGGTAAGTTTTTCTCTCTATCATTCTCCTGATAAACAGCAGTGCAAAGAATATAATAAAATTCCTCACTACTGTGTAAAACGAAAATTTCTTTGCTTTGAAGAATGGTTCGAGGCATCTGGAAACAATATTTGTATTGTATCGTATACGTACGTGACAAATTCATCGACAGATACAAAAATAAATTCTGCTATATGTAGAATGGTGAAAACCCGTCGACCTGAATATGTTGCAAAGATGGCTCGTGACTTGGTGTTGGACATAGGTGAAAAATGTGCGATGTCGACCAGAAATAAATGTGTTAAGAATTTATCTCATGTTGATGTGACTGGTTTTGGTTTTGGTGCGCACATCGCTGGTTACACTTGTGAATATTTATTCAAAAGAACGGATGGAAAGGTCCGAATCTTATTGGGTATGTATTCTATACAAATATTCAGTCAAAAAAGCATTCCTAAAGCATGCTTCGATTTCACATAGCTTTGGTTCCAATAAAACCTGCTCTATGTGGAGCTGCTGATTATGTTCAAGTAATCCATACCTCCATAAAGGTAGGAATGTGGAATCAGATGGGAGATGTTGACATATACGTAAAATATGAGAGCGATGAAAATTTGGGTCCTTTAAATGATGTACATGGAATTGCATTTTTCATCCATCTCGTAACATCTACTAAGCGACTTTTTATAATGGCAGAAATGAATAATAACACTAAACCTGGAATCGGCAAAGTGTTAAATAGTCCAACAAATATTGAACCGAATGAATGTTTAATCGGTGTACACGGTACCCTGAATGTAAGTCATCGTGGAAAAAAATTTGGATTTTTGTTGAAAAACGGTGATCCAATTTTCTGGAGAGGAGTTGGCAATTTCAAGTATATTATTTCGGGACCTCAAGAAGTTGAAGAAGAAGATGAGGATTGCATATTATGCTGCGAAAATAAGAAAAAAGCACTTTTATTGCCGTGCAAACATATGGAAACATGTATTACTTGTTGGTTTGAATGGGAAAACGCCCAAACCGAAGCATCGAAATGTCCCATTTGTAGACGAGAAGGAAGATTTCAAAGAGGTCAATAAAAAAAAGTAAGTTAGTTTGCATCGAACAATGTTTCTACTCAATACACGGCAAATCTTTTTTCTTTCAGCCTCCGTAAGAGAAAGAGAAATCAAAATAATTGGGCTGCTTATTCTTTGATTCGATGAAAAAAATCCACATGAAATGTCGGTGTTCAAAATAAAATCAATTTATTTGACAATGAATAAGCATATTGTATTTTGTAATAGTAATTTGAAATAATAACACCTTCCGAATAATAATTTCGCGCATTGGAATATTAATGATACATAATTTGCAATTGAATGGATGTGATTCACTTTAGACAATTTCATATTTTTCTGGATAAAATACCGTTTCCACCGGTTTCCACTGAGAATGGTACAGTTGAACCATCTTCAATTTTCGTAACTTGTAAGACTTTCAGTTCAGCATATGGTACTTTTGATACAAATGTCACTTCAACCGGGAAGAAATCGGCCGAAATGGATGATGGGCAACTGAATTCCATTGAACCAGCCGGATTTGAAGAGTCGACATTCGAAATGTTCCACTGAAGACGATTCTTGCCTTTATCATAATGGTAGTGTAACATAAGTACACACATTCCGACCGATGAAATACAAATAACATTTTTGTTTCATAAAATAATTGCATTTATTCATTATCTCTATGAAATTTGACTGCAGTCATTTTCAATCATGATTAAAAAGATATTCCGAAAATAAACATATGACGTCAAATTAAAAAAAACATTCCTTAAAAATAGATGACTACGCAAGTTTGATTAAAATAGTTCAGGTATCCGCGTAAATCATATCCTTTTTCATTGGAGTGAAAAAATGTCTCGTTCAGTTGAACCCATAAGTAAGTTTCTAATAATACACGTAACACACGAGATTAGAGATTGGAGTACTCCATCAAATTAATTTCTATTAATTGATGAAAAGTGTGCTATTTTAAGCATTAAAACCATCCAAGTATACGATATATGCATCTTTTGCTCATTTTTTTGTAATACTCTTTATTTTCTGGTATAAAACTTGAACCATATCCCGAGAAAGTGGTGGGCAATGAAGCCTATAAAAATTAATATAATTCATTAAAATTCATTAAAATTCATTAAAATTCATTCGTTTACTACAATATTCCTAAATAATAACAATTGAAAAAAGGGCTTTAAAAATGAAGTGCTTGCAAATGAATGTGCTAAACTGAGATTGAAAACCAATTTAACTTTAATGAAGTAATTCACACCAAGAAATAAAACAACAGATCAAACTATCTAAAAACCTTTCGAATCGATAAACCCAGGATACGACTGCAGTTACTTCAGAAACTTCCGTCATTTTGATATCGAAACGCTTTTGAATTTTTTCCAACATTTCAGCATCCCTATTCAAATCAATACATTGAATTAGTAAAATATTGGCATAATTGCGAATCAAAGAAGAAATTCAATAAGATCCGTTCATTTTGTAGATATTTACTCATTTGAAACGAATGTAATGATTGTTGAGCGGTTCATTGCAACACAGTTCACACGATCAATGTATGCATCGGCATCGTTTGGCAAATCGTAGTTGATAATCATCTTGACTCCTTGAATATTCTTCGTATTATGTGCGTTCAAATGAGTTGTGATCAAAATGCGCTGATAAAACTGTTTAAAAGCAATGATTTTAAGAGACTTGCATGGTATGTAAACTACAAAAGATGAATGCAAATGATACCTGTTCATATTTCGGTTGGTATGAAAAGATTTCTTTATATTCAGCTGCATGCGAATTCACAAAAATAACTGCTTTATCGGGGTTCATTGCTTCCAGCAATTCTAATATCTTCTTGACCTTCTCATGCTCTTGAGTTTTGATGTAATAATGACGCAAACCATGCAAAATCAATTTGGTCTCATTATCGACGAATATTGGCTATTTATTATAATTATTATGGGAGTAGGGAAAACATAAACCGAAAAAAGAGAGAAAAAGAAAGGAAAATGTCAATTTTTTTTTCAATTACTTCCAACCGAAATCGATTGGAGATGGATCAGCGACGATGAAATCCACGAAATCAGGCTGTTGTACAAAGCGTGAGATTAAAACCGTTCGCGTGTTTAATTTATATTTACGTACATGTTTCAAAATCGCCTTGCATATATTTCGTTCTTCTTCACCAAATTCACGTGAAGCAAACATCATGAATCGTTTAATTTGCGGAGTTTTTTGTAATATGTCCTTGACTAATGCGTAACGAATTCCTACGAATGTTTCGTATGTTTTGTGTGTGAGAGATGAAAGAGAGAGAGAGAGAGAGAGAGAGAAGGAGAAAGAAAGAGAGGATTAATTTGTCCAACGATCAATTTGTCGTTTGTTCAAGATTAGGCTAACCCACTGGTTCCGAAATTTTGTCAAATTCATCCCAAATTAAGTATTTCAAATGCTCCCACTCGATTTCCTTCATTTCAATAAGCTTTGAAATACAATCAAGAGTGCCGATAACGGTGTGTGGTGTCTCTGCTTTCAGTGTCTCGATTATGATATCTTCTTTTTCAGAGCAGATGTAAACTTTCGATTCTACATTTAATTCCTTGTAACTTTTTTTGATTCCATTAGCAAAATCTGAAGAGGAACAAATGACTAATATTTCAATATTTTTCGTTGGTTCCAATAGCTGCGAGGTTGCTAGCACGAGCACATCACTTTTGTCCATATCTGAAAACAATCAATACAATAACATTCGTTGAGGAACGGAAACACATTTGTCACATGATAGTCTTACTTAGTTTGGCCCCGCAAACGATGTTAAATCCATCCACAAATCGATGAATACACTTCACATCGGCTGAAAAATGAAATAGAAAATATACACACATTATTTCTTTTTTCATTTTTTTCCTTCTAACTACCAAATTTAGCTCTTTTAACTACCAAACTTAGCTATTTTTCGTGTTATTCACCATTACATGTGAACTTACCGTTTGATGGTTTTTTCAAATGACTTTTATCAATAAAATTCTGAATTTCTGGCTTGAACTTCATGTTCCCAAAATCATGCACTTTTGCTCTCTCAACTTCATCCATTTCTTGGTTGGGCATTTTTAATATGTGTTTTATTTATTGTTTTCTTCACCGTTTTATCACCAAAAAAAGTACCTCGATAAAAGACTCTTTCAATATGGCTGAACGAGAGTTTTTTTTTCTTTCTATTGCTTGGTTACTACAGTTGACGTCTACACACAGAGAGCATCAAAAAAAGACGTTGTATTTGTTGGTGCGTGACTCGTGTAGCTTGTGTGTACATGTCACAGTGAAGTCTGAATGTGAACTGATACCAAATCTATGAAATGAATGTGCAGCCCAATGTCAAAGAGTTTCTTTGGAGAAAATTAAGAAATTAAATTTTAATTGAAAAAAATCAAATTTTCAAATGAATTAAAGAAAGAATTTTGAAAAATCATACGAAGAAAAAAAAATGATTAAACGATTATTCGTTAATGTGAATGCATACTCACGCCGTAAGGAGCCGACGACAATGTATTGTGGCTGAGAGATGAGTGTTGCTTTTGTCATTGTATTTGTGTGTATCTTATCACTTTTTTTTGATAAGAATAGAATGCGAGCGTATTATTGAATAAAAACACATACCATGAAAACGTAACTTATTAAATTCATCTCAACTTCAAGTTGAAGGAATTGATCTAATACTTATGAATCATGTTTTGCAATTTATCGGGATTTTATTTTGGTTCAAAATGGATACGTTTATAAAGTGTGTTATAACTAAAACTGATTTGGTAAATTACCGCAAAGAGACTACAGAATAAATGGTTTCGAAACATTGTCGCCTGTTTTGTATATATATAATTTGAACACAGACGATTTTTTTCGACAAGTTTCGTCACCAAGGAATGAAGTTGAAAGAGTGAAAAATCAATTGCCATTTCATTCTAACCAAATTTGGACAAATATGTAACGTTTTTAGGACATTTTAACGTTAAAAAATGTAACGCTTTGGCCCGGTTTAGTGGTCATTTCCGTGTCAAATGGAACGTAGATTTTGTGTGTAGTTTCCAGTATAATTACAACTTCCAATGGAATGATTCGTTCCACTTGTTTACTACCATACAAAAACATACTCTGACCGTATAATATGATCGCCACCCAATATGTGTACTGTACGTTAAGTTTTTGTATTTCAAATTTAATGATTTATTTACCGCAATAAAATCCATTCTCTGCAAACAAATTAGATTTGAGTGATTTGATTTAATTTTCTGCAAAAGAATTTTTTTTAAACGGCACTTAGCATTTATTTTTTTAAATACTTTCGTATTCATGAACGTATATGAATTTCGAATTTCGAAATCTGAGAGACATTCGAATTGAATTTGACAGTTGCCGTTCAACCATCGTCAGTTTGAAAAAAGATGCAAACATCATAATTTTGTTTACATTTTAAAATGTGCTTTGTTTTGAGAATGCATCGTGGATTTTTAGTTCAAACAAACAGAATTCTTTCTTCTAATTTCAACGTAGATATTGTGAATTTGCAAAGAATATATTTATTTACGGTGAATTTTGTGCTTGTTCTTGTTTTGTTTTTAAAATAACAGAACATTTCCAAAGTCACACAGTAAGAAATCAAAGCGGCATTACAGTGTATTTTGTATCGAATTGATAGGAAGTTCATTTGAACCGCTTAGAATAAAAGTAGTGAATGAGAAAAAGTGAAAATAAAAGTCGAACATAAAGTTTTTTTTGTATGGATTTTGTCTATATAAAAAAAACTTTATGTTCGACTTTTATTTTCACTTTTTCTCATTCACTACTTTTATTATAAGCGATTCATTTTATTTGTGTGGAAGTGCATTCTTCATTTTATATGTCTTTGTTGTGTGAATTTGACTGTGTATTAACTTCAAATTTGATGCCATTGGATTTTTGACTGTCGAATATTGCGAATCGAATTCAGTTTAGCGAAAAATCCTCACAAGGCAAGTTGATTTAAACTGTTTGGCCATTCAATCATTGTTATTGTTGTACTCTCTATTGTGTGTTTTGTGCTTTGAAATTGCGATTTGACGTTGTGTGTAGCCTTCAATTGTTTATATAATTATTTAACGCATTTTTTCTTTCTTTTTTCCGTTTTTTTTTTAAATTTTGAAATAGACTGCAAAATGGGTCGTCACAAGAAGGCTGATCCAAACGCCGACCAAAGGTGTATAAAGCAAGGACTGCCATCAATTATCCGTGAACGATATCGGGATGTAATTGTCGCAATCATTTCGAACTTATCGGTGAAGGCTACGAAGATCGCATGCCTTGCATCGTTACTATTTTTGATGAAGGTAAGTACACACATTTCTTTGACCAAATTTTATTTTTCTTCATTATTTCATCATTTTTTCGGCACTATGCGATCCATTGTATTTATATGAATCGATTTGATTGTTTGTCTCTCTCTCTCTATGTGTTCTGTGTTTCTTGAATAGGTCAATGAAGCACTCGACGATTTCAACTATGATTTTTTTGAAACCGATGAACCATCAACGATCATACACAACTGTTTTAAGGCCGTTCTTGTCGATAACATTGGTAACATATCGCTTATGTTACCTGGTTTCCGCAACATTGTCGACGCTGCACACATTGACTGGCCCACAAACGGTGGGTTCGGGAACGGTTTTAAATATATATGGGATTAGTACTACGACAATGTCAAAACGAACCTGACAACGCATTGCGAGTCTCGATTGCGGAAGTTTTTTAAAATGAGAGCATTCGAACTCAACGACTACGCCATCAAGTACAATTATTTCAACAATTTGTACGGTATGATCGAATTCGAATTGCCATACTACGACGAGGAAGATATAAAAAATGCCATCAATTATACTTATCGTCGTCGAAACACCGCAATTGGCGACGTTGAACGTGAGATGCGATTGGGTGAACTATTGGATGAATTGCGTTGATTGGGAGCACCGGACGATTGCAATATCCGTGACTTTGTGAAAGAGGATTGGTTCAAGTCGATTCGCATGTGGTCGGAAATTCAGCGCGATATTCGGAACTTTCACTTTGCATACGAAGATCGTCGCGATAAACCGCAAATAAAAAACTTTGTCGTTGTGCCGATGTGCACTTTTCAGCGTCGGCACATTCGAATTGACACCGACGCATTGTACGTTATCCTATCGAATGCGAAATTGGTGCCTCGAAAGTGCGGTAAACGGACACGTAAAGACGGAACAACAAATTTCAAAAACATCACGAGCAACGAATTCCGCACAAATAAAATCCTAAGTTGGAATTTATTCTTCGATGTGGAGAAAATTCTCAAACTTGTGCACAACAAAAAGGAATTCGATTCTCAAATTTGTTCCGATGGCGTATCTGTACCGTTGATGTACAAAAAACCGAAAGTACCACCAGTCGAGACAACAGATGACGAAATCAAGGCAATGTATGACAGCAATGAGTTGAAATATGCTGTTGGATGTGATCCGGGTATGCGAACGTGGAACGCTTCCGTACGACGAGATTTGCATACCAAAGAAGAGGTAAATTTGTCATTTAATAATGAATGAAAGCGATTGTGATTGTGAATACAATGTTGTTTTTGTTGTTTTCATTTTGTTAGGTGAATTTGCGTATATCCAGCAAGCGATATCACTGGGATGCGAAACAAGGCCGACGTAATGCAAAAGCCGAACGAATCACAAGATTGTTTTCTTTCGAAGAGCAAGCCGATCGTAATCGAATTGCAGCTATGATTGGTGAAAGGCCATCGCTAAAAGGACCATCATGGCGTTCGTACATTGAACATCGATTACGTGTAATGAATGATGGCATTGAAACATACTCAACCAAACAGTATGCACGCTTGGGACTGGACAAGCATATCGAATCGGTTCGTGCAATCGACAAAACGGCATGCAAAATGGTTCACAATCAACCATCAATTTTCTACATGGGAGCCAGCGGATCAACACCAGCTAATTCGCCGATTAAGATCAAGAAACATGTGCGATGTCCAGGCACACGGAAGCTGCTTGCGGCCATTATGAAACGTGGCAATTGCATCATTCGAATGGTCGATGAGTACATGACATCACAACATTGTCCATTGTGTTTCAAACGATTTCCACAACAAACTCGACGTGATCGATACAAGACATGTGTGGGTTGTGTACCAAATCCAATTGTTGGACTACCACGAACCATCGTAACCAATGTGAGCAAACGATTACTACAAATGCGATGAACAATTGAACGAATGTGGCGCGAGATGCGTGATATAGGCGATGTCATTGCTGCAACTCTTCGAGATGGACCGAATGCAGGTCGTTTGGTGTCAAAGAAGCAACGCTTCTTCAAAACATGGCTACCAAATGTTGCAAACGTTGAAATCGAGGGAGCTGCCGGAGCACAACCAACGCTCACAACTGTATACTTTTTTTCATAAATTCTGTAAATAACATGTCATTCAAAGTATTGGCCATCGGAAGCTATAACCTTTTCCCATTTTTCTGGCAGCATATGGATTTCGCGCCAAAAGAACTGCTCATTTTTTGAGGTTAGGAAAGAATCAATCCAATTTTTGATATCTTCAATTGAAGTGAAGCGTATTCCAGACAAGGCATTCTGCATCGATCGAAACAAGTGATAGTCAGAAGGGGCAATGTCTAGGCTATACGGCGGGTGGGGCAAAACTTCCCATCCACTATTTTCCAAATAGTTTTTAACGGTGGTATTTCACCGGGGGGACATCTACGACAGAATTTTTTGGAAATGATTCAAAAAAATGTGCCCAATTTGTGCCCAAGGAGAGTCACGTAGGTTGGGCCGGGTTTAGTTTTTTGGCTAACATTTTTTACTCAAAATAAAAATGACGGATAGTTATATACCGTCGGAAAGGTATTATTCCGAGCTACAAATTTGCCGAAAAGAGTAATTGATTGCTTCGAAAACAAAAAAGTTATGACCAAATTTCCGAAAAAATTATTTTTGGCCCCCAAAAAAATTGTCACGTAGGTTGGGCCAGTATGCGAAATTGAGAAGAGGTTGAAAAAAATGAAGTGTAAACGCCAGATTTTAAGTGTTTAAGGTTGATTTATTCATAACAAAGGCTTTCGCCATGAATATATAATGCAAAAATATCAAATATTAATTGTTTCTCTTCAGAACTAACATCGGCATCTGAGTCACAATTTTGGCACGCTGACATGGAATGGCCGCTGACACTTGTTGCACTCCATGGAGTTGTTGTTGGTCAATTTGGCTGGCAAATTCTGCAATCTGCATGCAGATCATGCAGAAATCCACGTCTTCATCTTTGAGGCGACGGCTCGTGCGGGCTGTATTCGCTTTTTTATTGACTCTCTTTGCGGTTTGCTGTCGCTTTTTTGTGCCTTCTTCCTTCTTCTTTTTCTTAGCATCTCTCTTGTGCCGTCTATCTTTGAGGTAGGCAACTGATTCTGGTGAGGTGCTTTTAGATTTCGATGAGCTTCTAGAACATTCCATTTGGCTTTTCTCAAAATTTCTAGAACATTCTATGGATTTCTCTGTGAAAAACATAGCGTCGTATAGTGGCCCAACCTATGTGACTCAAAATGGCTCAACGTGCCTCGGTACCATTTTGACATGACGTGATATATTTTATTCTACACAAGATATGTTCGAAATTCCTTCGAAATATAAAAATAGAGGAAAAACTATAGAGAGAATTTTATATTCACCTTTTTCTGTCGTTGCAAAATTTACACCTTTTTCACTTTTTGAAAATCTTCGAAATCACTTTTTTAAAACAAAAATTTTGTGTGTTCTGGCTCAAATACAAGGGGTGCTAGTTAGCACGTCCATTTATTATGAATAGTTTGCTCCTAGTGAGAGAACAATTCGACAATATAAAAATCATAGTTGCCAATTGCCATATTTCAAAATATCATACTGGCCCAACTTACGTGACGGCCCAGCCTACGTGACTCTCCCCTATCAATAATTTCCCATTTTTAATATTAGGAGTATAACTTAAAAATTTCGCATTTGTTACTAACCTCTTAATTGTCATCTGTACTAGTTTTTGACAGCGACAGCTATTCTATCTTAAAAATTCGCCAAATTGATTTGTCAAAGTGAACACAATTTTTCACACACAAGTTTTATTATTGCATTGAAAATATCGAATTACGTTCCAACAAAACAGCATTTGCGGGAAGTTTCGCTTTTCTTTTTTAATCAAAAGAAAAATGGATCTGAAAGTTATCGTCTGCTCCAGGAAACTTACTCGGAATATACCCCAAATATTAGAACATGCCAAGAGTGGTTTGCACGTTCCCAAAGTAGTGATTTTGACATAAGCGACAAAGAACGGCCAGGTCAACCAAAAAATTCGAAGATGAAGAATTGGAGACATTACTTGATGAAGACCCGTGTCAAACGCAAGAGGAGCTTGCCAAATCATTGGGAATAACTCAAGCAGCCATCTCAAAACGTCTAAAGGCATTGGGGTTTATTCAAAAGCAAGGTAATTGGGTGCCACATGAACTGAAGCCAAGAGACGTTGAAAGGCGATTTTTAACTTGCGAACAGCTGCTCCAAAGGCAAAAAAGGAAGGGTTTTCTGCACCGTATTGTCACTGGGGATGAAAAGTGGATACACTACGACAACTCAAAACGAAAACCAGCATATTTCAAGCGCGGCGAAGCAGTACCATCGACATCAAAGCAAGACATTCATGGTTTCAAGGTAATGCTCTGTATTTGTAGGGATCGACGGGGTGTCATTTATTATGAGCTTCTAAAACCTGGTGAAACTATCACGGGCGATCGATATCGACTACATTTAATGTGTTTGAGCCGAGCATTGTGAGAAAAACGACCGGAATACGAGCAAAGACACGACAAAGTGATTTTGCAGCATGACAATGCTCGGCCACATGTTGCAATCGTTGTGAAAAATTACTTTGAAACGCTGAAGTGCGATGTCTAACCCCACCCGCCGTATAGCCCAAACATTGCTCCTTCCGACTACCATCTATTTCGATCAATGACGCATGGCTTAGCTGAGCAGCACTTCAGTTCTTTCTAAGAAGTCAAAAATTAGGTCGATGAATGTATTGCCTCAAAAGATGAGGAGTTCTTCCGACGCGGAATTCGTATGCTACCAGAAAGATGGGAAAATTCATAGCTTTCGATGGACAATACTTTGAATAATGTATTCTTTCATTTTGTTATTGAAATAAATGCACATTTTCAGCGAAAATTACGAAATTTTTAAGTTGTACTCCCAATAACATAATTATTAACAAATTAATAACATAAATATGTTTGAAAATATGTTAATAACATATTTGCAAAGATTGCATTATGTTATTAAATATGTTATAAATATAATATGAGGGGGCAAGCTGTACCAAACGTATTCTCGGTATGAATGAAGCGGTGTTTATGACATTTCAAAAACCAATGTAATGATCGTCAAATGTCATATGGCTCGCACACATCAATAATACTAATTCAATATTTAGATATAAGACAACTTAAGCTTTAAAGAGTTTTTTGCTTAAGGAAGTGTCAATATCAATCGATGCTTTACATTAATTCTACGATTTGAAACAGAATTTTATGCTCTTTAAATTGAAACATACCGTTTTATTAATTACAGATATGGGAAACAATCTATTGTACATTAAGGATGTGTTACATAGTGTTTTGGCATTTTTTGGCCTCATTTTTTATTATTTATTCATTTATTTCGCACACGCGAGGTAAATTTTTTAAATCGAAAAACGCTAGAAAATCGAAAAAATTTATCCAATTTCCAACTTTTGTTGAGCAAAAAAAGGTCTTCACTTTTCAAATCAAAAACTCAAGAAAATTCAAACCTCTCCTATCCGTACACTACTGATTTATTTTATTACATCCGAAATATTCCAAATTTTGTTTCACATGACTTTGAATTTTTCACCACTTGCAAACTCAGGCCGAGAATTTTTCTTGTGTCAGCGGGATCAATAATGCCATCATCCCATAAATTAGCTGTACTATAATAGGGCGATCCTTCTCTTTCAAATTGTTCAACAATAGGTGTTCGAATTTGATTTGACTTTTCTTCACTCCATATGTTGCCAGTTCGTTTATTTTGGTCTTCTGCAATTTGTGCTAAAACGTTTGCAGCCTGAGCTCCCTAGATAGAATTCAAAATAAAAACATAGAAATAACGGAACTCAATCAACAGGACAGAAATGGAAATGTTCATTTCATCACTTATGAGCTTTCGTAAACATATTGCAGAAAATTAAGATTTGATAGTGATCGAACGAAAAAAACACAAAGAAAAGAGAATATAACAAAATTGGAATCATATTGAATGAATGTATGACTTGATTAATAAATACAGCTTGAAATTTATTTCAGTTTGTTCGTTATGACTTCATTAGGTATCACAATACCATAATCGTGAAAATGCTTCACTTAAGTCAGACGTGTACAACAATGCTTGTGTTCACTATGTTTTTAATAAGATTTCATACTTTGGAATGTTAGATATAAAATCAAAATGTTATTGATATCTTTGGCGTCAACATTTTAATGTTGGAAAATGTGTTTCAAAAATTTCGTCAAACATAATCTTATTCATTAAATAATGTGTTCGCTGGAAGTTATTAAGATTGATCTATTTTAAAAACAAAAGATATCAATAGGTACCAGTAGACTTTTATTAGGTTTGTATGGGAGATGTCAAAATTTGGTCAAAATTTGGTCAAATTTGGATACCTTCAACCAACATTAGGAGGTATTGTATCTTTGGTGTCTACCAATTTTCAACGCGGTTATTTTGGTGAGATACCACGGTACATGCATGGTCTAACACAATTTAACACGCTTATTGAGGTCGGAAAACATGGTCCATCCTAGTCTAACACCATTTAACACGGTTGTTTTGGTTTATTTATGAACGTTGGAAAGGTCTTAAAGTAAGCTCTCGAATGATGTCAATTGCCGACTAAAAATTTCAAGTTGAGTTGGACAAATTGGCCACAAATCGGACACTTAACGGACATTTCCTCGAGAAAGACTCCATAATCACTTATGAAAATTTCATTGATTTATGCCTCAAAGTTTAAAAAAATGTAAAATAAATACACAACACTGAAAATTGGCCGGCCATAATTTATATCATTTGGAGCCAAAATAACCTAGTCTATTGTATATTTCCATTGTATTTGAAAATTATTCAAATTTATGTGTGAGATGTTTTGCATCTTTAAATTGGAAAATGTCTCTTACAAAATTACTGATATCAAATAAAAAACCTCTGTCGAGGTGTAGAACGAGTGACGAAACCAAAATTTGAAACACAAAATGTCTGATATCAATTTTGTGACGATATTTTCTAAAGCTCTATTTTCTTACTTTCTAACAGTTTCATATGATTGTTGAAAATACATATAATGAAAATAATAGAAAAATAATCCAAAGAATAGCAATTCATTACTAATTATAAGAAACTTACCCCCATGACTGAAATTCTTGAATTTGGCCACGTAAAGAGAAAACGTGGAGAATATGCACGACCACACATACCTATAAGTAGATATATAGAATATTTTGATAATATATAAACTCAATTATATTGATAAAATAATAAAGAGCATACCATAATTCCCAGCCCTTAAATAACAAAAATATAAAAATAATGTACTTAATAAAAAATACTTAAAAATTAAAAATACTTTTTTTGCACTAAAAAAGTGGAACATAGAATTTCAATGTAAAAAACTCTTTGGCAGTTTTATAGACTCGAATTACAGTTAAATACCGCCCGATATACAGGCGGCTTCGAATATGCCAAATCGAATCACAAAATGTTTGATAATTTAGGTTGGAAATAGTCCTAAGCATTATATTGATTGACATCCAAGCAAGGGCACAATCGAGCGAGCACTTACAGAAGTTGAAAAAAACTCTATTGCAATGAATTTGAGAAAGAGTTTGTCAAAAACCGTGAAAAACGTGAGGTTTTTCAAGTGAGTGGTTTCTGTTATTTGTTTGTTTGCACACAAAGTTTGAACACACATTTCCCTGATGAAAAAAAAATCAAAGGCGTTCAAGAGGGCCAAAAGAATAACGATGCGATTTCTACATGAGTTTTTTTCATGGGGTCGATCACGAAATTCTAGTGCATCTAGTTTTTGATAAGATTTCACTAGAAAACTAGAAAATTCTAGTGTGTGAAGTTGGCTCTCAGTAGTGAATATCCTCATAATGGGAATCTCATTGTTTCAAAAAATGCTTACAAGTACTAAAAATAGTAAGTATATTAATATTTTTCTTTCCACAGTAATCGACGATCTCAACACTACCACTATGTACTAACAAATATCAAATTTAAGCAATGTTTAACCGGGGATTGCGTTGGCATATTTATGTGAAAACGTCAGTGGAATCTTAATCGCGAACGCCATCTTTGGTTACATGTATAATTGTATATAGCTGTTTCTTTGCTGAAAATTTCACTTCTATTTACTACAATATTTATTTAGAAATATACAAATATTTTGAATATTTGTGATGAAACGCACAGAAATATACATTTTGGATGTATATGCAAATATTCATTTTAATTCTTCTTATAAAAGAGCATGTTACACAAAACAGGTACGACAAATTTCAAATTTGCAAAATGTCTAGGGGACGGAAACCATTAGCTAGTTTTTTATATTTCAAGTAAAAACTAGGAAAATTAGAAAAAAACTAGCAAAAACTAGCAAAAACTAGAAAAATAAGCAAAAATGATTTGATCCGCCATTTTGATATTGTGCCATGATTTGGTGACTAAATCAATTTTACAAGTCGACTATTGAAAGAAACAAATACTTTATGCACGATTTTGTGTTAAAAAAGAATAATTAAACTAATTTCCACTATTATTATTGTATAATTATTCAAAACACATAAAAATATGTCTGAACAACAAAACGTCAAAATACTTCATTGTGTCAGTACAATCATTTGATTGTCATTTGACAGAACAAAAAACTAGAAAACTAGCAATTTCATAAAGGAATATTAGCATTATTAGATTATTCAAGCAATAAACTAGTAAATTAGCTAAAAACTAGTAAATTAGCTATAAACTAGAAAAACTAGCATTGGTTTCTCTCCCCTAGCAAAATGTAAACAAGAAAATGACAGCTATTATTCGGTCCAACATTGAACTGATAGAACCGCTTGTTAATGTATACTTTATACAGATGGGAAACAAGAGATGGCGTTGTCATAGAATTAAAAATGTCAGTCATAATACCGGGTTTGCAATGTTTTTGTTGCGGTCATTGATTTATATGAAAATATATACTTTCTTTTATAATTTCATTCCGTTCCATTATCCATCTTTTTTTCCATTCTTCTGTGCCACCCTAGTTATCTTACCCATAAGATCCGCCGATTAAAAATGTAATTTTTGGTATATTTGCACAAGCTACAGCTGTCACCATTTTTGCACCATTTTTAGCTATTCCATTTGCTTCAGCGTGAGAACCAACCATAAAACCTATTTGTTTTTGAATATTCGGAATATTTTAGGGACTAACTCATTACTTCTCTTATTGATCTTTATTTGCCTGTTATATTTTGTAGAAAAACCAGTGGAATTTGTCGTTGACAGCAAAGCTATGAAAATTAATAATATATATAATATATATATATATACAGTAAACGAAATTATACATATTAAAATACAGTAAACGAAATTCAAACATATTTCTCTCTGACACTCATTCTGTGTAAAAAATATTTTTTAGGGGGTATTGAGGGCAGACTGATACACCCCAATTTTTTTTAAAAGGTAGCACAAAATGTCAAACTGTTACTGTATTCAAATCCGCTGTTAATAGGCACAGACCTGGTAAAGACACACTCAATACGTCGTACAGACCAACGAGAGTCGTCGAACAGTCAAGTTTGTGTTTTCGGCACATACGGTCGGTGCCAGTTTCCTATGCTTTTAATATAAACTCAGCCATAGACTAGTGGTTAGCGTGCCAGGTTCGATTCTCGGTCAAATTTGGTCCGGTATTTTTCCACCGTGATTCGCTCTGGAATCGCCAATTGTTTAATGCGGAATAGATTTGGCCGGGTTTCGGGTTAGTGGGGTGCTTCGGAAGGGCACTTAAAGCCGTCGGTCCCGTGTGTGCATAACGAAGATATGGGCTCAGCATAGACACACGTAAAATGGGATGCCTTCACGTTAGGTTGTTGTATTGAATATGTGAGAGGTTGCAAATACAACAACCGTAAAAAGGTAGTGCGCCATCTCTGGTGAATATACCGGTAAACCAGCGATATGTGCATTTCTCCATTGAAATAAGAAGAGTCCAAGGCCATCTAGGAATGAATGGAATTCTTGTGACTGTCACGACAATTGACTTGAGAAGAATGCCCTGGTCACTGGCCCTGTACGGAGGCTAGTTACATGACTACTATAAAGTGGGCCACACCGTGGGAAGCATTCTCCAAGCAATCGAGTGACAGCACAAGACGGGTCGTCATGCAATAAGTTACTTGAGCATCGAGTGAATAACTCCCCGTTTAATCCAATAATCCAATAAATAATCCAATATAAATCTTCATTGAAAAATTTCACAACACGACATCTAGGATGAAGCTGTCATTCGACGGTGAACTATCCGTACTGTCATTTGCCAAATGACTTTTCTATTTTCAAAAGACTCCTCAATCGTCATCAACACGTTTGTTAACACCAGTAAGCATAATATAAAATCAAATCAAAAACCTCTGACGAGGTGAATAGCGTGTGACGAAACCAAAATGAGAAATACAAAATTTCTGATATCAATTTTGTGACGAAAATAAATGTTGAATAATTTTTCTGTGTACTGTGAATTAAAATTTAATATACATTTGACAGTCAAAACGTTGCAGAAATTCCTCTCTTTTTACTGTCAGTATGGACTGATGACGCAATGCAACTTTCCGAATATACAAATGTATATTAAGTTTTTAATCACAGAGTACACAGAAAAATTATCTATCATTTATTACGAATTTTAATAATTTTAAAATACAAATAAAATATGGACTTTTAGGTTATTAGGGACGGCCAATTTTCAGTGGTGTGTGGTATACACTTTTTTTATATATTTGACTTGGGGTATAAATCGATGAAATTCTCAAAAGAAACTATGGAGTCTTTTTCGAGAAAATATCCGTTATGTGTCCGGCCAGACGGTCAAATTTTGACTTTTGGCCAATTTGGTCACCCCACATGAAATTTTTAACTCGCAATTGGCACCATCCGATAGCTTACTTCAAGACCTTTCCAACGAATATGCATATGCTTTGGGTATATATATATATATAGCCATAGTCACAGCGATTGTTTGAAAAAATGGCAATTTTAGGCCATTTTTGCACTAACGAAGGCCATATCTTGAAAACAAGAATTTTCTGGGATATGAGCTATGCGGCATATTATAGCTTAGACTTGGGCCTAAAATCGGTGAAATTTTCAAAAAAATCCTTGAGTTTGTTTTCGAAATAATGTACGTCATGTGTCCGGCCGAACGGTAATTTTTTGGTTTTTGGCCAATTTGGCCACTCCAACTTGGAATTTTTGAACCGCAAATGACATCATTCGATAGCTGGCTTTAAGACCTTTCCAACGATATGCATATGTCCAGGGTGTGTCAAGTGGATGTGCCTCGGTGACTGTACGGACAAAAGTCAAATAGTGACTTTTGGAGGCCGGCCACGGCCAACATGGCGGCCAAATCGAAAAGTGCCGGAACAAAAAAGTCTTAGTTTTTTGTGTACTTTAATCACAGAAAGTTCTAAAAAGATCAGAAACAACTACGCAAAATTGCGCACAGACAGACACACAGACATTTTCATTTTTCATATTGTAGAAATTCATATGAAATTTTTGAAATAATAAATTTTTCGAACGGATTAACCTATTTCGACGTTCGAGTTATCGTTGGAAAGGTATTGAGCTCTAGAATAAGAATATCGATGTTTCAGGGGTCAATGACCTCATTTAGTGCCATCTATGGTCATGAAACTGAATTTTGACCCTTTTCTTGAAAGGACCATATTTTGAAGACAGGTGGACCGATTTTCAAACTTTTATATTTTTTCTTGATTTATAGCCCAAGGGCTTTCCAACCATACATCAACCGGAGCCAACGGCCTTCTAGGTCTGGATTTCGTATATTACGTGTATATATAGCGAGTTCGACTTTTCAACACACTAATGTGGTTTCGTCACTCGCGCGAACTGCCGTCAGCTGTGATTCTCCATTTTTTCACTACCTCGACATTGAACAATACTCACTTGAACAAAATGTGCGCCTTTCAATGCACTCTCGGGAAATATTACACCATTATTGCCAATTATTCCTAAAATATATATTACTATAGTAATAATCTCATTCAGTTCGCTAAAGTATTTTTAATTGAATATTTACCTATCAACTGACCATATACACGAGCAAAACCACACACGAGAGTTTCTCCGTAAAGTTTTTTAAACTCATCGAATCGACTACCATCAACGATTCGAGCTATAATCTCACGAACATCGTACAGTTTGGTTAAGTCCGACTCAATAATACCATATATTTCCTTTGGATTGTAAGCTGGTTCCTCATTATCCATATTGTTTTCTTCAAATTTTGAGGAATTTTTTGAAATTCTGGTTGATATATTCAAGTTTTTTATGATATTTCTAGCAAGGTACAATGCATGCTCATCATCAACTGCATAATGATCAGTTACACCAGAAATTTTACAGTGCAAGTCAGCACCACCGAGATTTTCTGCAGAAATCTGTAAAAAATATGTTCATAAACAAAACTACCGATTCTTCATGTAATTATATTATTAAAATATTGTAAATGTGAACATTTCACACTCAATGTTCACACTTACCGTTTCACCGGTGGCAGCTTTTACCTAAAGTGAACAGAAGAGGGATTTATATATCATTTTTGTGTCAAATGAAAAGTAGAATATATGTGTTCCACATGGTGGTCTTTGCGTTTTCAATTAAGCTAAATTTATAGCCATGAATTTATTTTTAAAATTTTTTACATACAAAAATCACAAAAATGTGTGTCGCAATAACGTGCAAATTTGCACAGATTATTTTTATTTACAAAAATTATTATTCGAAGAGTTTTAAGAATTTTCAATGAAAATTAAGTGTACAGCATCCAACGGTGACCGCACTAATTCCCGAAATACATTTTCCCGAAATTGTAAAATAGGCCTTTTTCCCGAAAAGGATATTTTCCCGAAAGACAATTTTCCCAAAAAAAAATTCCCGAAAAAACTTTTTCCCGAATTTTTTTCCCGAATTTTTTTCCGGAAGACATTTTGACAATTCTATACCAAATTGCTCAATTTTTTTAAAGTTCTTTAACTGTGATTTCTTAAGAACTAAGTCTGATGAAGTTTTAGTCTGAAGAAGAGTGAACTTTTTTCCGAATCCTAAATCAAATTCAATTGAAATAGAAATAGATTGCGCTCGTTCGGTATTGCGTTACATTTTTCCACTCCCATTTTTCCCGAATCCTAAATCAAATTGAATTGAAATAAAAATGGGAGAGAGTGCTTAGAATGGAATACAAGGAATAGGTGCTATGAAATGGCAGCAGCTCAAACCTAATGTCTGCTCAAAAAGGAAAATTTTGTATAGGAGGCACACTTAATTTTCGTTGAAATTTTTCAAACTCTCAAAATATTATTTTTTTGTTAAAAAAAATTAACCTGTGAAAAGTTTCACATCTTACAGGCATGTTTTCCATACTAAAATCCAAGTTTTTTAGGTCTTTCGTATGAAAAATGTGTCAAAAAATATTTGTTCCGCAAAACTAACGTAAGATTCAATTTGTTCGTGCCAAAAAACATCCCACTTCATATTTTCGTGTGCTTAAGTACACATAAAATATGACTTTTGGGAAAAAATTGGATTCTTTCTCATAGGCAATAGGCATGAAACTTAAGTCCATCAACCAATGGTGTTCAAAATCTAATGATTTCCATTTCTCACAATTATCCTAAAAAATCAGATTTTGAATTACTTTTCTGTTGGGTAAGATAATCGACGGACACAAAAACCATGCTCAAAACGATCTGATTCGGGTTCTTTGGCCCCGGAGAAAACATGTTTTTGAGGTGTTGTAAATTTTGACCCTTCACTTTCCTAGACCCAATGAACAATTTTCGATTTATTTTATGCATACTTGTATGCCTACAATTTCACCGTGCTGGTAGGCCTAAATAGGGGTGAAATTGTTCATTGGGATTGACGCTACTTCAACCATGATTTTGGTCATAAACTCAACCAGAAAATGTAATGGTGCAGAAAGCTATGGTTTTACATGTTCTTAACATTAATCACAGTTTTCCAATGTTTCCTCAATTGGCTGACTACTTTGAAATTATCAAACAAAAAAGTGCATCCGTCTTACCAATGGTGGTCCAGCAAGAAATACAGTTCCTTTATTTTTAACAATGATACTTTCATCGGCCATTGCTGGAATATATGCGCCACCAGCAGTACAGCTACCTAGTTGTGAATCACGTAGGAAAGATAATTAAGGTAATGAAAGTTTAAAAAAAATCACTTACCCATAACAACTGATATTTGTGCGAGTCCTTGTGAGGACATATTGGCTTGATTATAGAAAATTCTCCCGAAGTGGTTTTTATCTGGGAACACATCTGCTTGCAGGGGTAAAAATGCACCACCAGAATCAACCAAATAAACACATGGCAGGTTATTTTCTGAAGCGATTTTCTGTGCACGTAAATGCTTTTTAACTGTTATTGGATAATAAGTACCACCTTTCACGGTAGCGTCATTTGCGATGATAACGCATTCTGTACCATGAACCCTTCCGATTCCAGTTACAATACCACCACCATTTATTTTATCTTCATAAAGATTGTAACCAGCCAACGGACTCAATTCAAGGAAAGGTGAACCCTTATCTAATAAAATGTGAATCCGTTGTCTCACCAATAACTTTCCTTGAGATGTGTGGCGTTTTATATCTTTATCATTGCCTGTGGGTAGAAAAGAAAAATATTAATAATGGAAATCAATAAACATAAAAATGCTTAAAATTAAGATTTGGCAGTGATTTTATTTTTGGATCTATGAATAGAAAATGTAACCGAGAGAAAAAATGAGAAAATTGAATGTATGTATTGTATAACACTTATGCTTATTGCATACAAAATGAAATATATGTCAGTTGTTTTTGATTTTATTCCAACCCTACTTTCTTCCTTTTTGATGTCTTCCTTTTAACCAGTGATGGTTCGTCGTTAGCCAGCATTGTCTTAGTCTTGGCTTACACCAACAACTGGTGTATGCCAATCGTTAGCCAGCTATATGTGTGACTATGTACGATTCTCACTGACAATTATGAGTGACATACAACTCAGTGTACACATTCGTTAGTTAGCCAGTGTATACATTTGTGGCAAATTAGCCAGCTAATGTGCCCATCACTGCTTTTAACATAAATGTTCTGGTATAATGAAACAGAATATGAAAAAATGGATAGCAATCCTTCAGTAATGAAATAATAATTTTAACTACCTCCGCGTGAAGCTTCCAGTGTTCGTTGCTTCAACTCAGAAACCAAAGATTCCATGTGATTGTAGTTCATCTAAAAATATATATGTGATTAATTACAGTGCTCGAAAAAAAAAATCTGAATATACCTGGTATTTTGGAGAATTTATATCTGTTTGACTTTCAATTTTGTTGGTAGAATCAAAGTATATGAACCGAAACAAAGTCTTTTGGAATTCATATTTCTTCGGTAATCTCAAAAATGTTTGTTTTAAAAGTAACATTTTCAAAATTTAAATTTTTAATAAATTATTATAAAATAACAAGCATATGTATTTTTCAATAACTGTCGAATATCCAGAAATAGCGTAGGAAATCTCTTGTTTACAACGAGTTGTGTGTGCCTTTTCAGTAGCTGAACTTATCTCCTTAGAGATAAAAATGTGTTTTGTAAAAATGGAATAAAAAATTAACGTATATAACTTTTCTTTTGACAGTTTTAGGTTAATATGTTATCACTTTATAGACTCTTTAGGTTATCACATTTCTATGCATATTTTTGCCACATAACGTACATGTGATTGCATTTTATGAAAAAATATTGCTTGAATTTAAGTCGAAAAAAAATATTTAATATTATAACTATATGAAACGAAAGAAAAATAATTTAACTAGCAAACAAATTTGTAATGTTTTAAGTACATTCTAACGTTGAAAAATGTTACGTTTTGGCCCATTCTGGTGGTCATTTTTGTGCATAGTTTTCACGAATTCCAATGGAATGGATCCACTTATTTCATTCACTTCCAATAATATTTCATTTGTGAACATAATGTGAACACAACCCAATACATTAAGTTTTAAATTGAAAATCTAAATCCTAGGCTCAAATAAAAAAAATAAATAATTTATTCGGAAAGAGATTTGCGTAATTTAATTTAAAACTCTGCAGAAGAACTCTTTTATACGTCATTTATTGCATTTATTTTTCTTTATTTCTGGAATTAGTATTATATATTTTCGAAATGCAACTGACATCTTTCTGACATTTTTCAATTGACGCGCTGTATATGTGTCAAACCACATCCAACGATATTCATTTATATGTATTAATTTTTTTTAAATGTGCTCGCATCGTGTGACAGTATTGTTAGTACCTATAAACAACTATCGCACCAACGGATTTTGTTTACAATAGAACTTTGTCTTGTGTTCAACAGGATTTCTTGAGAATTAGATGTGAGTGTTTATATCGTGGTTTGGGCGATCAATTGGTTTTATTGTCATTTCAAATTCAACGATTTTGTGTGTTCGGAACGCTGTTTGCTGTGGAATGGATATATTCACAGTTGATTTTGTGTTCATTTTTGTTTTAATTTCGAAATAACAGAGTGTTGATAAAATTTACTGTGAATATTCCAACAATATTTGATGTCACATTCGAAATAAATTTCATCATTCGTTCGTAGAAATTTCGTCGTTAGTAGAAATTTAAAAATTAAATTGGATAGCTCGGAGATTGAAAATATTCGCAACATTTGTGCTGAAATATCACCGATTGAAATAGCTGAAAAGCTAGTTGGACAACAAATAAGCATGCTTCCTGATGATCTAGTAAGTGGTCCTGATGAAATACCAAATAAATTTATCAAGCATTGTTTGGTTTCATTGCAGGGGCCAATCACAACATTATTAAGAGAATCTCTTGAAACATGCACTGTACCACAGATTTGGAGAACGTCTTTTGTTAGACCGGTTTACAAAAACGGTGACAAAAACAACGTTCAAAATTACCGTGGTGTTGCTGTGCAGTGTATTGTGTCAAAAATTCTTGATTTAATCGTCACAAATCATCCCAATCAATATCTACAAATTATAGTCCACAAAAGTCCGCATGGGTTCATCAAAAATAGGTCTACGATAACAAACTTAGCAGAATTTACATCGAATACGATAATCAACATGGGAAATGGACATCAAACAGACAACATATATTTGGACATCGCAAAGGCTTTTGATTCTGTGAATATAAAATTACTAATTCAAAAGCTAAACATCATGGGATTGAATACACAGCTGTTAAAATGAATCGAATCGTATTTGTCTGGACGCAGACAAATAGTCAAGATATCAGATACCAAATCAGACTCAATCGAAGTAACTTCTGGTACTGGTCTAGGTTATCCCATTGGCGCAATTTTGTTCATCATTTTTGTGATTGATCTACGATTCGTCGTGACCAATTCTTGCATCCTCTCATTCGCTGATGATACCAAGATTTCAAAATGTATAACATCAGAAGATGACTGCATTAATCTTCAAAGAGATTTAGATCGTGTAGCAAATTACTATGGGCGCAATTTATTAAAGTTAAACGTTAACAAAACAAAAATAATATCATATCATCGTGGATCAATGAAATATGAACATAATTACAACGTAGATGGCGTGCAAATTGAAAGATTTGAAGTAATGAAGGACTTGGGAGTATTGCTTGATGTGAGGATGAATTTCAAATCACACATCGAAAATGTTGTCGCAAAGGCAAAATCAAGATTAGCTTGGTTAAAATTCAACAGCAGGGATTTTTTCGACCCATGAACGTAAAACGCCTTTACTTTACATTTATTTTACCGATTATTGAGTATGGAGCAGAAATTTGGAATCCACACTACAACAATATGTGCAAAATGTGAGTCAATACAAAAGCATTTTTTATTGTATGCACTGAGGAGAATGGCCTGGAACGATTTTGAACTGCCAAAATACGAACACAGACTACTATTTCTGCAAATGATTACTCTTGAGGAGAGACACAAGATGACGCAAGGTCTATTATTTTCAAAATTATTCACGGAGATTTAAAGTCAACTTATGTTTCAAACAGTATAAAATATTATGATTCAGCACATGATACCAGAGCAACACCACTATTTGATTTACCAATTAGGAGAACTGATTACACAAAATATGAACCAATAAATTATATGCTTACATCATTCAACGATTTTTGTACCAAAAAAATGCCAAACAGTGATAAAAATTTAATTGATTTAGAAGTAAATTTATCAACAGTCAAAGTGAGAATAGAAAATTATTTAAAGCAAAACAGATAAATATTTGTTATGGATTATAGAAATTTTGAGTAGTTGGAAAATTAATTTATGAAATTTATATTAATCATGTAAATACATGAAAGGAAAGAAACAATAATTTTTCATTTTCACTCTCAAAAATGCTTGATAAAAATCAATATCAATATTTTATTTGAATGGGTCAAAATAAAAATCCGACTTGTACGCAGAGTCTATAAAAGTTGAACATGGAGTTTTTTATAGTATATTATATCAAATAAAAAACCTCTATCGAGGTGAAGAACGAGTGACGAAACCAAAATTTGAAACACAAAATTTCTGATATCAATTTTGTGACGAAAATAGTTGGTAGATATATTTTCTATGAACTGTGAATATAAACTTAATATACATTTGTATATTTAAAACGTTGCAGAAATTCTCTCCTTTTTACTTTGAGTTCATACTGACGCAATGAAGCAACGTTCCGAATATACAAATGTATATAAAGTTTATATTCACAGTTCATAGAAAATATATCTACCAACTATTTTCGTCACAAAATTGATATCAGAAATTTTGTGTTTCAAATTTTGGTTTCGTCACTCGTTCTTCACCTCGATAGAGGTTTTTTATTTGATATCAATAGTTTTGTAAGCGCTATTTTCAATGTTAAAGATTCAAGAAAC